TCACATGTATAGAAAGAGGCAGAAGCAACAGGAAGGCGTCGGTACTTGCCACATAATTGGAATATATTGGAGAATGCGAACGGATGAAAAGGTGTGCCCTGGCCCCGTTCTAGCCCTTAGTTCAACATGAAGCTCGCGCGCTAAAGCTCCTTTTTACCTGGTTGGGCACTTGAGCCAAAAGTATATGGCATGTACCTATATAGCAACCATACTGGGACCTCATCCCTATTGACACCCCCCACATCCGTACTTCGACGGGGAAGGGAGATGAGTGGATGTAAACAAAAACCGGAGAACGGATCACGTTCTCAAAAGTGTATTGGAGGTCAACCAGTATGTCCTATTGAACCGAATTAGCAAACGATCTTGCATTCGCTTGAAAGTTGGATCAAACAGGTAGTGGAGCTACAAGCGGAAAACGTGCACCTACCTATGGTATCATGCGATTACCAGCGGTGTGAAACACAATCCTATCTCACTCCCATGATGCCAAAACGGTCACCATGAATTACCCAAGATCCCTCAGTACACGAAGTACCAGAAGTGGCATGTCGGTATGACCCCAATGCTCAACCATTCGTGAGTTGCCGCATATAGTCAGCGCCGACAAAGCCAATGTAGTCCTTGATGAGCTCAACGTTCCTCGGATTTCCCGCTCGGATCTGCTCCTCGAAGAACTTCAATTTCTGTGCTTGGATATCGGATACCTCTATGCCATAGTAGCGGCATGCAACGAGGATCTCCTTCGTGACATTCTTTCGCTCCGATTTGATGGCGGGGCTAATGTCGATGAATTTGTATGGAGCGGCACTTTCGTCATCTGGTTTCTGGTAGTAACTATATCGGCTCGCTCCGAAGGTCTTCCTGATCAAGCGTCTGATGAAATTTGAGATGAATGCCAGTTTCTCGATGATCTCTTCCTGGGTCTCAGACCTTCGAGCCTTTGGATCACTCATGTTACGCCGAGTGCTGCCGACCTCTTTGAGGTGCTTGTGGCTAAGCCCGCAGCGGATTGCAGTGATCATCATCGGGTGAACAACGTGGGCGTGGAATTCATAGATCTGCCACGCTTCTGTTGCATACACGTCGTTGGTCCATTTGCTCATGCCTACGACCTCGGCTCTCTGGAGACGTCTTGGAAACCCAGTATCCGGATCATTCGGTACTATTGGCCATCTATTGTATGGAGTGTCATGCCGCTGTCCATCGTCGAACTTTCGCAGTACGTCTTCACGACTTTCAAAGCAGTTGATGTCGAACGTCGCGTTGGCCAAGCTCTTGATCAACTTCATCAACCTCAGATCAAATTGCTGTGTGACTGCAAAGTTGTGGTCAATGGGGATCGCAGCTTCTTGTGGCAATTCGTCGATTGCGAAGGGGAAAGGCTGCGGAAGTTCATTCCCGTATCCATCTTGAGGGACCTCCCGATATTCGGGTTCGCCTTCAGCTTCGTCCGGTCGTTCCTTCAAAATGATAGGAACTTCCTCCTCTTCCTCTCCTTCGGATTCCTCGACCTCAATGACCTCTTCGGCTGTCTTGCGTGCATTCTTGATGACTTCATCGATGTTTGCACCTGCAGCAGAAGTTGCTTCACCGGAAGAACTGGCTGGGACATCTTTCGGAGGCGATCGTTGATTGCGGTCCCTTGTCTCCTTGGGTACCACATGCGTGAGTTTCCCATTCGCGATCAAAACCGCTACGCAGTGCGGACATATCGTCAACCGCACATCGACTTCGCCAAGACAGTTAGGACACGGCCTTGAGTCATAATCTTTCATTGCCCGGCGGTACACGATCTCCTCAAAGATTTCCTGCCACTCGGTGCTATCATATTCTGGGTAGACACCACTCTCCTCGATCATACCTAACAGTTTTGAGATTTTGGCGTCGTCCTCGGAGTAGGTATCATCCTGAACCTCAACCGCTAAACTCTCAAGCTTCTGAAAGCGTGGGATCATGATCGGGTTTCCGTATTTGGACTCCAGAACAAGGTAGCTTCCAGGGTCGGGTTCCCTATTGAGTAACCTGATCCATTCGATCTCCTCAGGCTGTCCGGGTTCCGCATTGTCGCATTGCAACCATGCCCCTTTAACCTCATCGAAGGGAACGACGTTCTCAACCAATAGAGAGCCAGTCGCTGAGATGAGAAGTCCGTACTCCTGCAGCTTCCACACCGGAATGTAGAGAACCACTGGGCGATCACTCAATGCGACCTTACGACCCAGCCAAGGTTTTCCCTTGTAGCCCTGCTCCCAGGCCCATGGCGGAAAACATGTGAAGTGGATAGAATCCCTTCCCGATGAACCGAGACCTCCTGGCACTAGCCCCCGTCGCATGATTGAAGTCAGCGCTCCAAGATTGGTAGCGTGAAATGCTGTCACCATAGATAGGGCCATGTCGTTGGTCATTCTCGATCCAATGTGGTCGATGTTAATGGTAACGTCATAACCTCCGCCGTCCGTTGAGTGTGCTGAGGTTGCTCTTACGGCCACGGGAAAGCACCATCCATCGCTGTGGTGGAGTCTTCCTTTAGAGATTCCCATGCCCTTGAGTTCGTCAATCCATTCCTTCTCCATCGGGTCATCAGGGTCATTGAGTTCGTCAGGGTGAACGCGGACCGCCAACATTTGGAATCTGATCCTCTTGGTTATGCGGAAACACTCATAGTTCTGGTCGAAGTACTTCTCCAGACGCGCCTTCTTGGTCACGGTATCTACGTTGCCGTAGTTATAACCGTCTTCCCAAACTGCATTATCACCTAACAGGTCTTCCCACGACACCCATGCGCCTTCATCGCATTTGATTGGTGCGAGTCTTCCACCTGTCCTGAACTGGCGTCCAATTCGATGTCTCAACTTCGCTCCCAATCGACGACTCAGGGCTTGGCTCGCTTGGCTGTATTCAGGTACTCGACAGTATGGAGTCGGATACTTGTGGTTGCCGTAGTCGGAGTTCGTTGCAGCGAAAGTGACTCCGTTGATCGGTACTAGTTCAACTTTCCCGACCATCGTCATGGGGTCGATCGGCTTGTATCCCTTCTCCCTCCGTGTCGGTAGGGGATAGAAGTGATGACATGCCTTTGGTGCGAGGGAACTGGAGTGCACAAATGCCTTCTCTACGAATTCGTACACCACCCTCATATCCCTAGGGCCTACTTTCGCAAGCTTCCGCCCATTGTAGGAATGTGTCCCTCCTTCGACTCCATCAGCACTTTCGATCAAGGTGAATCCGTCATGGTCGAACATTGTCACGACTCTTGCTTTCAACATTTCTTTTCGCCTGAACTCGCTGTCGACCTTCCTATCTGGAGTAGGCGATGCTCTCTGCTTCTTCTTCTTAGGCTCCTCGGTCGGATGTCCAGATGGTACATCGTCGGGTGCAACCTCTCCCTTCACTCTCTTCTTCCAATCACTCAACACTGAGGTGACTGTAGGTGAAGATGAAGGGGTCTTCTCGCAATTGAGAGTTGTGTGTCCCGACTTCATGCAGTGGATGCAGAATTCTGCTTGCCCGATCTTCTCCTCAAATTCGTCGATGGCTTGCAGTATTGATGTCTTCGGGTCGGACATGTCAACGTCTTGCTCCTCCTTCTCCTGTTCAAATTCAGTCTCCATATCGACACCTTCGGCCTCGGGCTGGTCAGTAGCCTCTGTTCCCTGTTCTGGTTCTTTCCCAATTTCGAAGAAGTGGTCGATGTCGAATTCAGGAGGCGGCATGGTCCTCATGCGAACGAGAATCAGTGCCACGTTTGCCGCCTCTTCAGAGTGCGGGTCCAAGGTCCTGATCGTCGATCGCTTTCGGTTCTCATACGTTGTCCTGTCGTACAGCGATGCAGTGACGCGCTTGATGGATTCTTCTAATCCCGTCCTCAAAGCTTCGATGTCACCCCATCCCTTGAACATGTGCCTGAAGAGTTGAGCGATTTCGAACATGCCCAGCAGCGCTTCCACC